TAGTTATATCATCATTAATATCATCGTCATCATCATCATTTTCATCATCACTATCATTGGAGATTCTTCAGTTATTTGGTCATTTTTAAAGGCTGAATTTTTCAATTTTTTGTTTCAATTGATAATCTTTTTTGAGATTTCAGAACAATTATTGTTGATTTTCGTTTCGAGCGATGAATTAATGCTTGCCATCGTAACGGTTAAAACGTTTGAATTTAAACAAGAGATTGAAATATTGTCGATAGATGAAGAGTTGCCGTATAGAGAGTACATGAGTCGCTTACTGTTTTCATTAAAAGTAATTTCTTGTTTTTTCTTTATTATTATTATTATTATTAATGTTATTACTTAAATTTTATTATTACTATTATTATTATTATTAAATAGTTATATATTTATGATAATTGATTTTATATTTTGAGGTTTGATGATAACAAAAAGAGTTCCCATTATTATTATTATTATTATTATTATTATCATTTTTATTATTATTATTACCATTGATTATGCCATTGACTGGCAAGAGAGTTGGCCGATAAACGTCCAACTTACTGCTAGATGGCATAATAATAGTTTATTAGGTTTTAACTGGTTTAAAAATGGGTCCAAAATGATTGTAGCAATTAGTTGAATAAAGGTTTTGAATTTGGCTGCCATTGGTTTGGGATTAATATCTTAATTTAATTTTAACATTTAATTTCAAATTATTTAAAAAATAGCCGATATCAATATATACAGCGACAAACGTTAAGCTATTGTTAAAATGGCCATTCCTGGCTCTGTACGCTTTTGTATTAGAAAATGTATGTACTGTGTATTGTTGCGACTTAAACTAAAATATTAATACTACTACTTTAATTTAATAATAATTATGTTGACGATAAATCTAATTTAATAACAAGAAATTTGAAGTAATAATAATGGTATTAATAATGGTAGCAATAACAATATAAGAATAATAATGGATACTGTATCATCATGTTTGGCATCCACGAGAGAGACGCCGGACGAGGGGACAGGACCCGACTTTCCCCTCATAAACAGGCAGCCGACCTCTGCTACAATGCTCAGTCCTGGAACATCACTAGATTACATCAACAATTGCGAAGAAGCACCAGATTTCCCATTCCAGTTGAAAGAAAACTGAACTGGGACAAATGATTGATGGGATTTGAGTGTTTTATTTTCACATTAATAACTTTATATTTGCATGTACGCACGTTTTTAAACTCAATTTAAATATTAAACTGACCTACTCTAGTTGTACACATTCTATACTATGTCGAGCAATATAGAGACAAGGTTCAGACTGTATAAAATATATTATTGTCTTTTTATTAACTTTATTGCAACTCTATGTTTACCATAAAATTTGATTGATAACGCCAAAATAATAAGAATGATTGAACCCCAATTGAACAATTAAACCGGCCCCTCTAAAATGTACCCACTTGCAGTGACGAGCATTTTAGATTAAATAGGATTTTATAATTATTCCATTATTAATATTTGGTATTTGGAGTTAAAAATAAAAGGATGTTCCCATTATTGTTAATCTCAGATTAATACTCCATTTCTTTCATTTGACATTTAATTTTATTTCATTATTTTATTTTATTTGTACTGTCCTTTTCATTGTTTTTATTATTATTATTATTATTATTATTAACATTATTATTAGTAGAGTGATTATGGCAAAGTAAATTAATTATGACGTTGATAATAACAGCAATAATAATAATAAAAAGAAAAAGAATAAATAGTAATAACAACCTATATGATGATGATGACAGTGATGATGATGATAATGATGAGGATGGTGGTGGTGATGATGATGATTTAAATGTTAATTAATGTTTATTTAAAT